AAAGAAAATAAAACCATATGTTAGTCCCGAAATGACCTAGTTTGTGTCGAGTGGATGTTAAACCCCATTCTCTCTTTCTCTCTCTTTATCATATTGTCTACAAATGTACATGTATCTGCATTTTAACATCTAAATTTTATTGAATTGTAAAGCGCATCTGAGCACTTTTGTGAAAGGTGCGCTATAGAAATACACCAAAATAATAATAATACTGTTGTTTTCTCATGCTTAATAATCAAATTCATTGAGTATACTTTAGACACATGTCTGAAAACACAAATATGACAATTTTCAATCTTCTACATATCTACAGGGCACCAGGTGATCAAGCTTAGCTTGAGTAAATATACGAAAATCAAATGTCAAAATGTAAGCTACATGATAATACTCAAATTACATGTATGGTTTCTGAAAGTTTCATCTTAAAATTTCAACTAGATTTGCTTGACGAAATTGTATTGTGACAATGCAAATTCAACTGTTACATGTGTAAATGACTTGATAATCGTGACAATGCAAATATGTCAGTTTTATTAACTATAATGTTTCTGTGAGGATTCCAACAGTAAACCTATGGAAGGTCCACAATTTTTTCATTAAAATACAATTGACTGGTAGCTGATTAAAAAACAAACTTTAAGACAAAAAAAAAGTGTTATTGTTTCATCTCAATTTAACCTATCAATCTCGCAATCAACAGTAATTCCATCACTAAATATATTGTATTATCAATGCTTTCAATGTCATTTCTACTGTTATAAGTCCAGAATCACTGGGTACTAACCTCCACTGGGACACTGGGTTCTAACCTCCGCTGGGACGTCAAACTCATCAGTACGAATGATTTAATTCTAAAGCAATCTTTTCTTGTATTGAACTGGAACAATTGTCTGGGATTCAGATTCTATCATTGCGTGTAGTCTAACTATTCTGGACAGTACTCAGCCAACTTAATACTATTTAAGTGAAATAGAAAAATGGAAGGAAGATTCTAATGAAAGAAATATTTGACTGAAAGCGTACAGTACTAACATTTGAGTAAAGGTGAAACAACATTTTATCCAGTTATCCCTAAGCATATGAACACATAAACGTTGCATGTCCAAGAACTTAAGTACTCAGCAAACTTAATATTATTTTAATAAGTGAAACAGAAAAATGGAAGGAAGATTCTAATGAAAAATGTTTGACTGAGAGCGTACATGTACTTACATTTGAGTAAAGGTGAAACAACATTTTATATAGTTATCTCTTCTTTATTTTATATATTTTTCAAGAGGATATTTATAAGTGGCATGTCCACGAACTTGGCTCGAAGGCAGTGTAACTACACAGTAATGTATGTATAAACTATGAAAGCAATAGACCAATTCTTCATAAATCTGATTGAAGTTGTCCAATATTGTATACTGTGTGAAATTCTTGTATCATGCTTAAAAACAATGCCTAGTTTTTGTTATTACAATAATATCAGAGGATATGGTCGTGTGATCTCAGACACACTACAATGTACATGTACATGTACATGACAATCTGGAAATGATATGAAATGGGGTTTAAAGTCCTACTGTTCTGCTCCGACTGGGTTAATGAAGACAGGCATACATGTACGCCATACAGTGTGCTATGAGGGAAATTTTGCAACGACACTATTGCCTACTCTTATATTGAATTCCAACTGCCAAGGGATCTTTTATGTGCAGATCATTGTATACACAAGACCTCTGTTTTTTGTCCCATCCAAATGACTAGACAGCTGTCCTTTTCAGGCCCACGTCGGAAAATCCCCATGAATTTTCTTGGCCAGCAAGCCAGCGTCTTACCCACTTAGACAATGACAATCTGGTCTGGCCAATGCTTACATGTATTTTATACAGAATCTAAAATAAAACTGTCCTTTAAAATAAAACATTGTCTACATTGTCTCACCAACTTCATATACATGTACATGTAAAACAATTTATACTACTGATGCATGCTTGTTTTAATTATTACTTTGGATTAAGATAGAGTCAGACCTTATCAGGAGCTGGTTTGTATAATAAAATGTTTAGGTGTAGAGAATTACATACATGTGCTTGTTGTATTAAACACTGGTCCTTGTGACGTCATATGCATGTGGGAAAATATGGAGTGTTTTAGATGTACACATGTATGGTACATGTAATTGACAAATCGTTTTCTTCGGTAGAGTTCTGAATAATATATCTCAAAATTCTCAATTCATAATGAAATTTATTTTTGGTCATCAAAACACAAGAACTTCAAGCACATACCATTTAATGCATTTACTTTATGTGCCCCTTAAGCCCTACTTCAGCATGTAAACTACCTTTTGAAATGTACACCTTACATGTAACATTGTTGTTAAATATGTCTGATAAACATAAAATCATTGTCAAACAATGTACATGTAATATTTATAAAAGTAAATGAAACACTAAAAATGTTATTTTTTTGTCTTTTCAGAGATAAATTTTACTAAACCAACTGATGCCATTCTGAACGAGAACCAAACTTAAGTATCTAAAGTTGTTTTCACAACTACATGTAGCACTCTTCACAGGCATTATGTAAGAACTTAATCCTATTTACAGGTCTTTCTTTTGGCCTTAAATGTGATATAAATTAATTAGACATTTATTAACATGACAACCGACAAGACCAAAATCAACTCTCGATACCATTGGTTGATTCCAATTTTAAGTACATGTACAATGTAGATTAGAACGGTTTGGCCATTTAATGATTTAATCTAAAAATGGAGAAGTGAGGCTAAGACTCAAATGACCTGTACGCTGGGTTACGATCAATGCATAAATCTTGTCAAAACTACAACTATTGTTAGCTTCGCTCAAAATAAAGTAATTTAAATATAATTTTCAATATATTCATTTTGCATTATCTATCTACAATGTAAATCTTACATAATGTCCCTTTAATACTGGATATGAACATCAGAAACCGTGGATTTGTGTAAAACAAGCTAAACACATGAAGCACTTGAGTACAATGTATGTGTACATGTAGTCCAAACGATAAATTTCGGCTAATGAAATCATTTGTTGCATGTATGTAGTTTTTATGCCATTCCTTAAAACACAAGAACTGAAATAGACAATATATTGCTAAACGTATTGCATGTACAGTGTACATAGTAGGTTGTGTTTGGGTGACAAATAGTCGCAATTTACTGGTACATGTAGTACACTAATACTGACAATTCCTAGATATTTTTTTTTTTGGGGGGGGGGGGGATTGAAAGTGATAAATAAGTAACAATATATACATGTATCTATGCTTATAGAATTTTAGTAAATACATAGTTCTAAATGACTGTATTCACCCATAAGTGAGTCTGGAAGAAATCTGAAATAGACAATAGCCCTGTTTACACTTGGCCGCGACAAGCATACCGTACCAGGCCGCAATAAATTTCAAGAAATTGACCCGTTACATTACTCGAAAATAACGGGTCTCGGAACCGTGCCAGGTACGGCAAATGTGAAAATCTTCACAGAAAAGTTAATTTCAGTCCCATTGCAAAACAACTACAATGTATGGCAGTTGATTTACTTTGAGCAGCCATTTTGACAGAACTGATGACAGAACGGTCCAATTTTGCGGGAAATGGTCAAGGTTCATTTGGTGCATATGCAGTAATCCGTACTGAAACCGTGCTCAGACCTGATAGCGTTTACACTACGAAAATTTGACCGTGCGAGTCTGGCACCATGTTGAGACCACCTCACTTCAATGGGCCAAATTGGCACGGTATTCAGTATGGCACGCTTATGTTTGATCCGTTTACACCACGAAAAAAATTAACCCTGCCGTGCCTAGTACCATGCCTGGCACGGCTAAAATTTGTAATGTAAACAGGTTTAATTAATGATATTTACCATTCAATATTATCAAGATATATGTACAGTGTATGGGTAAGATATATAACTATCTGAATCAGTATCATATTTCATAATGTTTAATGTTGTCACTATAGCATGTATGCAGACCTATTCATATGATAAACCAGATGGGATCTAATATTAATAACCGACAGTCCAATGCTCCGGATATGGATTGAACTACATCTTTATATTAACCTGTTTTATAGTTCTCTTGTTGTCAAATGGGTTTTAAAGAGACCCAGAAATAACGGTTACAACCCTGATTACAAATAACTGACAAAATGTCAGACACAATTAAAGTTGTTTTACAACACTGGTTACAACTGACAAAATATCAGACATAAACAAAGTTGTACCTGTCATTTTTAACTTTGAGTCGGACATGCATTAAATGTAACGAAATTGCTACCTGACGGAATGACAGGCACCAAAGGAATTGTGACTGAATGATAGTAACAGATGTAATGTCAGACACAACTAATGTTGTTCCTGACAATTTAACTCTTGAGAAGGACATGGAATAAATGTATTGAAATGAGAACATGTTCCTGACAGGCACATTATTAGGGCATGCATTACATGTAAACGTACCATAAGGAAGTGCTACCTGACAGAATGATAGACACCAAAGGAATTGTGACTGAATGATGGTAACAGAAGTAATATCAGATACAAGTAATGTTGTTCCTGATAATTCTAACTCTGAGACAGACATGGATTAAATGTATTGAAATGAGAACATGTTTCTGACAGGCACTTTATTAGGGCATACATTACATGTAAACGTACCGTAAGGAAGTGCTACCTGACAGAATGATAGACACCAAAGGAATTGTGACTGAATGATAGTAACTGATGTAATATCAGATACCAGTAATGTTGTTCCTGATAATTCTAACTCTGAGACGGACATTGATTAAATGCAATCCTTATAAGACATAATATTCCTTATTGAAATTGGCGCATGTACCTGACAGAATAACAGGAACTCAAGGACCCGTGACTGACAGCGTCTGCCATTATCATTGACAGAACGACTGGTGGATTATTTCCAAGCCTGGTTTCAAGGAATCCCGATGAATCAAAACCTACCTGATTTTTCTGTATAAGTGCAGGTAGAGACGTTCTTCTTGTTGATCTATGAGCAGAAAAGCCATGTGCACTAGATGAGCTTGACCTTCTGCGTTTTATAACAGGTAATTTACCATCTTGAGTTAATATATTTTGAACAGAAGGCTTCATAACGGCTTCCATGTATTTTGACACTAGTATCCCTACGAAAGCACATGTGTATGCGACATAAGGTCTTGTAGCATGAGGAATGTCCAATAATGACGAACATGATAAAAATCTTGTGAAACTTACAAGTAAAATCACAACAGCGCTGTGCACTGTTTCTAGTGATGAAAAAACACTGGCCACACTGACCGACAATAAAACTGTTACTATAACAATTGGCTGACTGACTTGTCCAGATGCACTCTCCCCTGTATTTACATCACTGGATCCAGTCCCAGACCCACTCCAGTTTCTTAGACACACTTGAGCAAATGTTTCTCCTAAGTAACACGAAGAAAACAAAATATAAACACTTATGTTGCTCCATGTACGTCTGAAATATAAGGAAAGCCAGTAAAACGCACACAATATGCTGAACATTGGCACCAACAAGGCGCACAATCTTTGAAACATATAGCCAACATCGCATTTCAATAACTGATATAGAAATACACTTGACAGTATTACTCCAAACCCATACACTATTAACAGTTGTTGTGCTGTAAAATTAGCCTTACTTATGCCGAGCCAACTCAGTAAAAAGCTGTAATTGCATTGCTCCAGTGGCTTGACGAACACTTGAATATATCCATTATTTTCTGTTTCCTCATCTTCTTCTTTTTCTGTATCATTTTTTGAGCCCCGTCTCATTTGCGACGGACGATGCATAGCCATTTTGATTTCGATCCGCGGTTCGAAGCGCACAGGCTTCTGGGTAAATAAGGAAAATCACAACCAGCCCTCTGGCGGCAGTCGCGTGCACTGTGCAAAAGTAAACAGTTTGCCACATCTATCAAATATGATTGATTATTTAAAGACAAAAAGCCGTCTTCATCTCTCAAATTCACAAATATACTGATCATTATTCAATGGACACATCTTCGTCGATGACCAATTGTTAGGAAGGGCTTCGTCTTTGATGTATACAGTGTGTGATTATGCCGACTTGAGAGCGAGGCGCTAATGCCTTATAAATCGATACACAATATTAACAATATAATCTTTTGTGTAGTCTATGTACATTATACTGTGTATTTGACAGTGGTTATTGTTTTTTATTTACTGGGGTATATAAAGTATTTCTCTCGGACACGTCATTGTATCATAAACTTATAACCTATATACGCACAGTATATTGTATGGTCAATATAAATATAGTTTGGCAATGCGAGTCCTCTTGATAATGTTTTGTGATGTGCATATTTTTGTACTTGAATTTTATCTGATATATACATATTTTGTTAGGTTCTAACAATATTTGCTTACAGAAATCAAAGAAAAATAGATGGATTCAAAGCCCGAACCCTAACCCTGATTTCATATAGGTTTGTTTCGATGCAGTGCCGATCGAATTTCGACTGACGAGATTTTAAACCTTAAAGACCCCCCCCCCCCCCCTGTTCAAAAGTTACACCTAAGGGTCTCAAACAGATGTCCATAAAATAAACAGACCTTGGGTGGCCCCCCAAAAATTTGTATGATAATATGTCATTTAAGTTACAAAAATTGTGAGGCCCCTGCGGATTGTTAGCAGGGCTGGATTAACCATAAAGGAAAATAACACGTGCTTAGCTGTAGCTTTTTCAAAAATCGATGCGATATAATTATATTATATTCTTATCTACTTTTTACTTCTCAATATGCGAGTAATACCCCAGCATATATAAATATTAAAAACTTGTCAACTAAAATGAATAAAAAAAATATACGGCATTCTTTATGTACCGGTATTTTAGCGTTTAGAGAATATTTTGTTTTCCAGGATATATTAAGCCCTGCCGAGACATTTTTTCCAGGATATATTAAGAATATTGCCCTGTCTATACCATTATATATATTGGGCATTTTATTTATGAACAGTGTATATAATTTTTGGTTATTGAGTGTTTTGATATATTTTTTAAAAATATACTGGAATATATAAAGAATATGGCCCTGCCAATATACATTAATTTTGACTATTTTTAATTAAAGCTCATATTTTCTATGATCTTTGATTGGCATTTAGTAATTGAACATATTAACACAAGGTACAATTTTACTGGTACACAATTACTGAGTTTGATACTAAGGGACACGTCGACGAGGATACTCTCGTCTTTACCAAGCTAATTATACGGGTATGTGAATAGTAGACAAATAAAATAGAATATGTAACAAAAATAACAATCACATACAATTAAAACTTAACACCTTTGGTCACGGGCCAGCGGAAATTCTTACAGTTATTTATAAAGATCAATTTATTAATGGGACAATAACTATCTTGCTGGTTTGACAGCTCCAGAAAATAAAAAAATAGCCTTATTCTAAGTACTACATGTGTTAGTGTCTTACCTGTTGTGTAAATTATCCATTAAATCCTATTTTACTTGTCCAGAGGGTTCAAAAATATTTTTAAATCCAAGTCACATTTGAAAAGGTTTACGTCAGGCTTTTCAAATCATTTATTTGAATTTTTCCAGTTTTTTTTAATTAGGTGTGTTAAGATGAAATTTGTATCATCAATTAATTGGAATATTGTAAAATAGTGCAATTTGTTGACCAGAATAAAGATTGGGACATATTATTCAGTTACAACAAGAGTGGTATTGAGCCTTTAACACTATTAATGGGAAACCAGTTAACCTAAGCTATAGATAGACAATAATTTAAATGCCCTCCCCCCTCTCAATCAAAGTTTTAATATTGTATGTGATTGTTATTTTTGTTGCATATTCTGTATAATATATTAACTACTATTCACATATTTGTATCATTTGCTTGATAAAGACGAGAGTATCCTCGTCTAAACGTCGCTTAGTATTAAACTCAGTAATTATGTATCCATAACATTGTACCTTGTGTTCATATTTCCTAATTATTAAGATTACACCAGTTAAAGGCTCAATACCACTCTTGTTGTAACTAAATAATATGTCCCAATCTTTATTCTGGTCAACAATTTGTACTATTTTATAATATTCTAATTAATTGATGATGCAAATTTCATCTTAACACACCTAATTTAAAAAATTTGAAAAATTCAACTAAATGATTTGAAAAGACTGACGTAAAGCTTTTCAAATGTGACTTGGATTTAAAAATATTTTTGAGCCCTCTGGACAAGTAAAATAGGATGTAATGGGTAATTTACACAACAGGTAGGACACTTAAACATCTAATACTTAGAATAAGGCTAATATTTATTTACTGGAGCTGTCAAGCCAGCAAGTGTGTTATTGTCCCTTTAAGATTACACCAGTTAAATCTTTTGAGAACCAGTTGTACGAAGCACGCCAGTGCATAAGTTGCATTTTCCTCTTAGGGAAGGTGATTTGAAAATGTATTATAGACGTAATTGATAAAGAACAAATGTCTGATTGATAAATTGATAATTATAGTTTATGTGCATAATATTAAATCAAGTTAACATAGTGATAAAAATCATTGATGATCAAGTTCAACCCGGGGCGTATAATATATTCATAGCGATAAACATCTCGACAAAATACGCTATCATGTATCAATACACGGATAACCTTCATATTGGTACTTTTAATGTATCAAATATTCAGTGTTCAATACGACCGGATATCTTTTGTTATTCAGAGCAAATGTTAAACCACTATCTCTTTATCCTGATGTTAACCGGACCCGATTTTAAATGGGTTTTTTTTCTATTAAGTTATTGACGTAAGAAATTGACGTACACGTATTTGTAAATCGACTATTAATGAGCCATAACTTTATACTGATTTCTTGCACCCTTGCCTCCAAGGACTATGTTTTCGTTATAAAAATATCGGACATTTATGTATATATTCGTGGTGAACTTTTCACAAATAACCGTTATAATATAATATACACTCACAAAACTGTTATGATTTATGAGGAGGTAAAATATTGTTACGGTAAACCAGCTGGGGATCTGGAAATCCTTGTAAGCGCTCAAGCGAGTCCAGAAGACCGAAGCCCATGGGAATTTGGCCGGTTTTTGTTTTTTTGTTTTAAAACAAAATCCCGTTCTGCTGTTTAAATTGTTTAAACAGAAGCCAGGGCCCGTGAAGGGGGGGGGGGCGGCGGCTGGGACAGTTGTTCAGTGACCCGGAGCCTAGAGGGACCCGGGGGTATGTCGAGTAATGTTTTTAAAAATTATGCTGAATTAATAAAAAAAAAAATACAAAAATACACTGTTACTTGATCGTAAAGTAGAAAAAAACCGGCGATTTTTCTGGATGTGTGTACTTAGTGGTGTGTGTAGGATTAGAATCGGATTCTGTCGGTCCACTTTTTTTAAGAAAAATTGGACCGTCCATGTTCAGTTTGAGGGTCTCGCCGCCGTTAGGGTATCCGGACCCCGGCAAGTAATCGTGGCCTAGTCCGGGCCTGTAGAACGCCACAATAGCCCCCATTACAATTGGCCGCGATAAGCACCGTGCCGAGACCACCTCACTTCAGTGGGCCAAATTGGCACGGTGCAGTACGACACGCTTATGTTTGACCCGTTGACACTACAAAAAAAAATTTGTAATGTAAACGGGATTAATGATGGTCATGCACACGGTTATCCATCGCTGTAGGCTGACTGGTATCCGATCATTAAAAACGAAACTGAAACTTTTACTTTCGTCTTCGTTTTGTTAGGCGCTAAAAATCTCGATGTTTTGCAACATTTTTGCCATGCACTTGACTTAACGGACAACCCAGCTTGTTCCTGCGTTCACTATATAGAGGATACGGAACACTTTTTGTTACACTGTCCAAATTTTACCAATGTTAGATGCCAAACTATAAATACATTACCAAATATTTTCATTATATGTACAAACTCTAACCAACGGTGATATATATAAATAATGTATTGCAAATGAATACGCACATTTTTAATACAGTCCACAAATTTATGCATTAAATTTATCTAAAACACTCCAATAACCATTGTAAAATACTAGTTGAATTAATTACTTTTTCGGTTAATATACATCCGACGTCTTCAACACATCATACAAGCAAGCGTATATTATAGAAATGGTAAGGCACTGAAAGTGACACAGGCTATTAAAATTACTTACGATTAATAGTAAATATAAAATACCGTCGTGGAAGGTACATATACAATTGTATGTGTAGTATATTTATTAAATAAGTTAAGGAGACGAATTAAAATATAAGCCTTTGGCTTGTTTTTGAATCTTTACGTTTTGACAATGTATGTATATATATTTGAATAAATATTGTTTAAATCAACATTTTTGCCAACTGTGGACCATTTTCCGACCAATATCCGAGAGAAGTTTATTATCCTTTCGGCCATACCACCATTTGAGAAATATATATACATTAGTAAAACGTATGTATATGCATTTATATCGTATGTTGTGTTGATTCTCATTTTCTGTGTTTCAGCAAAGTTAGCCTATAGACATACGTCACAATGACGCTACAGAACATGTCCTATATCTTTCAAAAAATTTCGACCTCAGGGGCAGACCCCACCCACTCGCCGAAATGTCTGTCCCAGGGCACGGAGGTCATCGCAGGCCCCGCAAGGAGCCCCATTTCAGGGAGCGAAATGAAATGAGGTTCAGTAATTAAATAACCCTTCTTCGTTCAACTTTTGAAAAAATTAAATTGTGCTTTCAAATCTGAAACATATAACTATGTGTAAATATTGTGACAATATTAATATAGACCGGTTATACTGGGTAAATTAATAAATGTAGAACTTTTAAGGCATATTTTGTCATTTGAATGATTTGGTGAAATTGTTCAATAGACATGACTCCCGTGTAGAAGCTACTGCATTTATTAAAATAACTTCCTGGCAAAAACATCGTTTACAGTCTATGATCTAACTCACAATATAAATGTAAATCATGACGTCAATGACATCAAACATTCAATACTATTTGTAGACCCTATGACAAAGTTAACAATAA